TGAATGACGCTGGCAGGACTGGGAGTTGCTCCAAGTGTGTCCATGCGTGAGTGTGGAGTGAATGTGACGGCCTGGGACATTACTGTACACTACAGTGACTTCATCAACACTGTATACTTAGGTTACACTTGATTTACTAAAAACATTTTTCTTTCTTCAGTAATAAATGAACCTTAGCTTACTTTACTTAACTTTTTTACTTTATAAACTTTTAATTTTTTTAAGCTTTTTGACTGCTTTCTAATAACACTTAGCTTAAAACACGAACACATTGTACAATTGTACGAAAATATTTTCTTTATATCCTTATTCTATGAGCTTTCCTGTATCTTTACATTTTTTTATTTTTACTTTTTAACCTTTTCGTCAAAAACAAAGACAGAGACACAGTAGCCCAGGCCTCCGTGGGGTCAGGATCGTCAGCATCACCGGCTTCTACCTCCAGATCCCACGGCAAAGTCTTCAGGGACAGTAACACCCTGTCCTCTCCTGTGACAACAATGCCTTGTGGAATGCCGCCTGAAGGACCCGCCTGAGGCTGTTTACAGTTAACTGTTTCTCTTAATAAGTAGAAGTGCATTCTCAAATAATGATAAAAAGTATATAAGTACATAAACCGAACCAACACTGGAGTCATTTATTATCATGATTAGGAGTTGTGGACTGGACATAGCGGCCTGTGCTAGACTTTCACGTGTCTGGCAGTGCAGCGCCTTTGTCTACGGCAGCGTCACCACTGACAGTGGTGTCGTGCTGTCATGTTGTGGTGGCTGCAGGATCACTAGGTGGTAGGAACTTCTCAGCTCCGTTATAATCTTAAGGGGAACCCCACTGCATATGTGGTCTGCCCTTTATTTATAACACATCGTGAAGTGGTGTGTGACTATCCTTTTTTTCTTTGAAAAGTCCTAGCACTTCTCTGTGGCTGCCATACCTTTCAGTTACTTTTCGTTCCTCTGTGTCCTGTGAAGAGAGAAATGACTCTCTGAGTGGAGGCTTCACGTCCTATCTGCACCCCTGCTCCCCGCAGCTCTGTGCAGTCCTTACACACAGTGGGTGCTGATGCTGTTTATTGTCCTTGCTCCAAATCCATGACCCGTAAGAAAACATTTCCAGTGGGGTCTTCTTACCAGTTTTCTCTTGCTGTGATAATCAAGTGAGCGATTCTCTTTTGTTAAGAGTTCCCTGTGGATGTGTCTCTGAGAACTGCTTTGGAATATTTTAATTTTTGTAAGGTCTAAGATTACTCTCTTTAGATCCTCCTAGGTAAATCAGAGCTTCTCAAGGAAGATAAATACACTGTCTGGATTTAGCTTTAGTTCTAACTTATTTCTGTTCCTCTAAGACAAGTTTTGTGTTTTCCTTAATAATCTGCTATTTCTCAGAGACTCTTATTGCGGGGAATTTATGAAATGTTTTGAATCTGTAAGACACTGAGACTCCTCTGTGGGGCTACGTTTGGCCAGCACAGTTCTGGTATTAGAGAAATGAGACTGCCCGATAGCTCACTTAGCTGTCTGTTGGCAAGTGTAGAAAGACAGGCTAGTAAGAGAGGAAAAAAAAAAAAAAACTCGGGGGGGGGGGGAATAAAATCAAGCTGGTTTATGGTTTGTCAGTACAAAAAGCTTTTAAGCCATATCTATAAAGGTAGATCCACTTAATGTTTGCCCTGCATTTCAGCATCATTGTGTGATAAGTGGTGTAAATTTAGCCTCTTTAAGTCTGATCTCCTGTGGGTTGAGATTTAAGTGTTAGAACTTTATTTGAAAGGACTCTATCGATTAGACTTTGATTTGATCCTTCCTCACCGAAGAGAGGAACTAAATAATCACTTGGCCTCCCTGTTAGTATATTTATTTATTTATTTATATTCACTTTATAGGCGTTCTCTCTCCCCGTTCTCTACCTTCTGTTTCTAACTGTTCTGCTTAAAAAGGCTAAAGAGGTATGAGAGAAGGGAAAAGAGAGGAGGAAAAATCAGCTGCCACCTTGGGAACATAATTGATTCCATAAATAATGTCTTTCAGTCCCCAAGGCCAACCTCACAGTCTGCAGTTACGTCAGTTAGTGTTGAGCTCAGTAAGTGGTGGTGGTCTTAATTTAGATGGATGGGAGAGTTCCCGGGTTCTCATTTCCTAGGGATGGAGTGTGCTTTTTTTGTTTCAAAGTCACGTCATCGTTATGCAGAAAAGAAGCTTGAAAGGGGATTAATGTGGTGGTTTTTATTCTTTCTTAAAATAGGAAAACTATTTAATTATTTCCCAGGAGTTTGCTGAAACAAAAAAATTGAAACAGGAATGAAAATTCCCTGGAATCCACTAGACTGTAGGGTGCCTGAGGGCTGGGACTTCCTTTTGTTTATTCACCGCTGAATCCTCAGGGCACATAATAGGTTACATAATAAATGTTTGACTGGATTTATTGTTGAATGAGTAGAACCCCCTAAACTTAATCTGTGCTAATTAAGTTTAATTTCACTGGTTATTTCGTCTCTTGTCCCTGCCTCCTTTGTCCTCAGTTTTTTAAAAGGAGAGGTATCAGAGTACAGTATGTTTAGAAATATCAACTGCTAGATGATCAAGTTGCAGGTGCTGGTGTAAAGCTGCTATTCACAAATTTAAGTAAGTACACCAGTTGTGCTTCAGAATCATATGATGTGTTATACATGTAAAAATTCTAGGTGTCATCCCTGAGTTTCTGATGGAGTCAGTGGTAGAATTGGGAGAGGTACAGAAAGCGCTGATGCAGTGGGACTTGCAAACTCAACCTCGGTGGTCTGTGGTACTTTTTGGTAAAAGTGATCACCACGGTAGCCAGCAGAGTGGTGGAGCTGTGACAGGAACCCAGGTCTGCTGGCTCTGATAAGGGTGCCCCTGGCCCTCCGGAGGTTAAGCCAACACCCCCTGCTACTTAGCATTCTTTAAAGAGAGTGACAGTGTTTGTGGTGAAGGCCAGGCAGAATCTGACGAACCTTCAGAATCCTTAAGGCAACATTGAGTTTGTTCACTCAACTTCGGTGTTCGGTGCACTTTATTCTCTAACAATGTCTTTGCTCTCCCTCTATCTCTATCCCTTGGTTGGAAGATAAACCCCAAGTGGGAAGGCCTTGCCTTTCTCCTTATCAACCCAATAACAAACAGAGAAACTTGCTGAAAGGAAATGACATTTGTTTGGGAATAGACATTTATATAATTATAAAATTGGGAATACCAATGTCATAATAAACTATCTGCTTATTCAGAGAGACAAAGTAAGACAGAGGCTTATAAAGGAAAAATGAGGAGGATGATATACTTGTTTTGATTGTTATCCTTGGCTACAAGAATCAATAAAAAGGATGACACCAGTCTGAGGTTGGACAGGGGGCTACTGGGGAGATTTTCTTGTAGAAGTATTGTGTATGATCATGATAGCCTCTCTGTAGGTTGTGGTTCTTATTAGGGTCTTTTGTGATAGTATTTGTTACCAGGCATGCCAGCATGAAAACCTTTTCTTCATGGCCTTCCTGGCCCTATTGCTCATGGTCCTTCTTTTTTCCTTTCTTTGTTTTTGGAAACACAAGTGACTCCATTTTTATTCTGGCAACGTGCTCATCTTGTAGGCCCATTTAGCATTTTTCAGCCCTGCCAGATTGTAAAGAATCACTTGAGTCCTTGTTTAAAGTATAGAATTCTGGGGGCTGCTTGAGTCTTGTTAAATCAGAATATTCCTGGGAGGGGATCTGAGGACCTGTATTTTATGTTCCTCTTATCATTATATTCTCTCCAAACTACTTTACAGTTTTTGAGAATAGCAGGTCTCTTTCCCCCGGATCCAACTGTGACATTCTAAAGATCCTAGTTCATACTTACATCATACTCTGGCTTCCCATCTGAAGGTTTATCTTCTAGTCCGCAGAACTTGTCCTTGAAGGAGGAAAGGAATTTCTGCTTTCTTCTTTCCTCCAGGGCAGAATTTTACTGGGCGTGTGTGAGTGACAGGTCGGTATGGGAAGTAGTGGAGTGAACGTTGCAAGAAGATAATGAATGTCTGTGCTACGGATTAGGATGCCTGTGGAACGGAATGGGGTGCCTGTGCCCTTTCTTGGCTTTGTTACTTTAGTAGCTGTATAATTTTGGGCAAATTACTTAAACCTCTTTGAGTTTCTGTTTCCCCCTCAGTAAAATGGGAGTAGGTGTAATACTCATTTGGAGATTTTGTATGTATCACACAAGGTGTCCTAGGTCAACTTTGGGGACACAAGCCCAGAGACAGAGGTTTGCATGCAGAGGGTGTTGGAGAGGGCTCTGGGGAACCGCTTTTGTGAAAGGCTGTGGGAGGCAGGTTTAGGAGGACATGCTGGTGAACTATGATGCAGTTGCATGCAATGAAGGTCTGAGCTGATCCCACGGAGGGCATCCCAGTCTTTATACCCTAATATGCACTGGATCTGCGCTGCCTCTGCAAACGGGACATGACCTCAGGAAAAGCAGCTCTTTTTGGCTGAGAGCGGCTATGTGCCAGCCACAGCCTACAGTCCTGGTAGTGGGGAGGAGTCCCTGGCAGGGAGGAGTGCTTTGGTCCTGAAGGGGATCTTAGTGGGGCACCCCAGCACCCACTGCTCCAGGTGACACACGTGAACTCTAGCAGTGAAGCTGGCACATCCGTCTGTAACTGTTCAATGACTATTCGCTATTCTCCTTACCCCTCCAGCTCTGGCAGGGCCACTGCTCTGACAGAGTAGCTGGACCACATGTAAGAAGTTACTAAACTTCCCTTGGGCTGTTTTCTTGTGGTTAGAATGGGGATCCTAAACTCTGTTCTGCCTGTCTCATGAACACAACGTAGAGATTTTGTATGTGAAATTTCTGAATAGACTATTATAAAAATGCAAGGAGTGACTATAGACTGATTTTTCTGAAAGGAATAGGTCATGACCCTAAAGAAAAAAGGTTTTGATAAATAGTAAAATGCTTGTCTGTGAAATATGGCGTTTTGATTTTTCTTTCTTCTCATTATAGGGGATTAGAATCATGGAGATGCTGCTAAAGGAACAGTGTGGTGCCCCTTTAGCTGAATAAGGCATAGTTGGTGAGTACCAAAAGCAAAGTCGGAATTACTCGCTCAAGCCACGTTTTCATGCTTGTAAGCCTGGGCGAGTCATGCTGTACGCTTCCCAGTTATACGCACAGGATACAATTTCACACGTGTTTCATCTCTTCTGTACCTTTACTTACTTGGTCCTTTGATTTTCAGAACAGTTTTATATTATGTGCTGGATTGGGACTGCATTCAAATTGTTACAACTGTTCAATCTGTCATGTGTAAAGACTGGAGCTCAGATTAAGCTTAATGTGATTGTTCTCAGAACAATCAAAAGAGGGATTTGGAGCAGTGAAAAAAAGGACATGTTGATCAGCCAGTGAAACAAATGTAACTTATCAGTCACATATTCTTCCACTGACTGGGTGGAGGTGGTGCTGAAATGCTGTTGAGAAGGATTCTGAGGCCTTGAGAATATGCTCAGGCCCCGGGTAAACGCCTGCACTGATTAGCAACGTGTGCCTGGGCACGGGATGGAAACAAGACAGCGATTCTGCTGAAGCACGTGCCACCTCTAGCTCAGGGCAAATCGTTTAGGGTTACCAGGTAGCAGGGAACTTCAGAACTACCTCTTTCCGCCCCACCCCCCAACATTTCTCTTGTTTCCATCAAAGAGAATGGTCTTTATAGAGGAAAGGGCAGGATAAAGTGACTTGAGAGAACCAAAGCACAAAATAAGTGAGTGCGATAGTTTTGTATCTTTCAAAATTTACAGGACTTAGATTTCTAACATCTGAGGAAGGACTTGAGTCCTACAGATATTACAATGCAAACATTGCCTTGGGTAATTTAGAATTACCTCAGTTTTTCTTATGTTAGCTTAAAAGTATAATATACATAGTTTTATAGAAGCACCCTGGTATTCTAATTATGATGTACAATAAAGTTTGAGTGCAATTAACCAAAAAGGAAGCATAAGGAACATCCGTGTATAAGCACTTCAGCATTCAGAGCATGCTGGCTAGGCCTGTGAATGAGCATCAGCTGAAGAATTGCAAGGTGTGTCTGCAGGTTGGACTCCATTCTGATTAATATGAAGCCTTTGTGTTAATATTAATGGGTTTATTAATACTACACCTGTTAGTAGATTTCATTATTACGAGAAAGGCTGAACAAGACAATTTCATTTAGCCTAGGCACAGCGCATGGCAGGTGCTCATAGAACGTAGACTCTAAACGTGGCTTACTCCTGCATCCCGGAAACACTGCAGAGAAGAAGGTGGTATATCTCCCTGCTTTTCTAAGCTGGCGTGTTTGTGAGGCCCACTCAGCACCTCCTGTGCTTGTGCACTTGGGCCCAGATCCCATTTTATCCTGGGGGTTGGATCTAACGTCGGCTTTAAGTGGCATAAGGGAATGAGTTAAGTGCTTCCCTAACTTAAAAATAATGGTTTTGAAATGTTAGTAAGCATCGGAGTCATCTAGAGGATTTGTTAAACACAGATTGGTGAGACCCACTCACAGAGTTCTGGTTCAGAAGGTCTGCGGTTTGGCCTGAGCATTTGTGTTTCTAACAAATTCCCAGGTGTGGTCCAGGGACCACACTTTGAGAATTAATAGCTTTAAGTGAACTCACATCTGGATGGACATGGATTCCATGCAAGGGCACTCAGAAAGCTGATAGCTCAGGTCTTGAAATTGTGGTCATGTATTCAGTAAGCTTTAGATTAATTGGAGTAATGATTTTCTCTGTGTGTCTTTCCTGTGGTTTTAGCATCTCAGCCTCTTCTTGTTTGACTTTTTGGTTGCCTGAACGGTGATAGGCTTCATGTTGGAGCACACACAACTGAAAAGAGAGGAGAGGAGACTCACACAAATTTGTATTTTAAATCAGTTTGGATTTTCTTTTTAACATGTGCAGGTGACACATGGTGCCAATTTCATTTGAAGATATAAGTTTATTTGAAGATATAACTCAAGTTTATAAGTTACACCTTTGCCACAGCCTCTGTTAGTGCAGACTCCACCTTGCGGAGTGCTGCTGTTAACATGCTTAGACACGGCGTACTTGTTCCTGATGGTCATGTGCTTTGTAAACCCTTGATTTGCCAGGGCTACATTCTTACTCATGGTTTTTTTTTTTTTTTTTTTAAACTATAGTTGAGGGCTTAGCCATCATGAACCCAGGGTTTGAATTATTTGTTCAAAGCACCTTATTCTCCTCCTTAAGTGAAGTGGTTGAGGTCTGGATACTACCAGGACTCTAATGCAGGATAGTTGCATTTGATGCATTTAGTTCAGTGGAATTCCTGACAGATCTATATATTCAAACTCAAAACTCATGACCAGTTTTCTCAGAGGGGTAAATGCAAATCTATAATTATTATAAATTAAAGTCTATTGCTGGGACTTTAAGCTTTTCAATTTATACAGTTAAATTGACCTTTTTTTTTTTCTTTTTAAGACAGTGTTACTCTGTCACTTCAAACTAGAGTGCTGTGGCCTCAGCCTAGCTCACAGCAACCTCACACTCCTTGGTTCAAGAGATCCTCCTGTGTCAGCCTCTCAAGTAACTGGGACTATAGGCGCTGCTACAATGCCCACTAATTTTTCTATTTTTAGTAGAGTTTGGGGTCTGGCTTTGCCATAGTTGGTCTTGAACTCTTGGGCTTAAGCCATCCTCTTGCCTTGGCCTTCCAGAGTGCTAGGATTATAGGCGTGAGCCACTGAATCCAGCCTTAAATTGACCAATTTTAAGTGTTCAATTTAGTGAGTTTTGACAAATACATAACATTATGGAAGTATCAGCACAAATATGATATATAATATTCTGAGGCTTTGATGTTGCCATCATGTTGCCAGCTTATTCCTTTTCTGACCTCCTCTCCCTTTTCTTGACTGTTTTTACAGAGTTTTTTCAGCTTATAGTGTTTCTGTTTTAATGGCATTTTCATTTTCTCAAAAACTACTGCATGGAAGTGGGGAAGAGGTGGTTGAGGGAGAGACTTACTGTTTTTATAAGTAGTAAAATACTGCATTAAAACAAGGGGGAAAACTAGCCCTACAGTGGTGGGGAAGGGATCAGATACCTCTTAAGCCAAATCTGGGCTACTGCATGCTTTTATAAATAAAGTTTTATTGGAACAAGGCTGTGCTCCCAACTACGTTCAAAGTTATATCTGCATAGTTAAATAGTTGTGACAGAGACCTTATAGCCTGCAAAGCCTGAAATATTTTATATCTGGTCCTTTGAGAAAAAGTTTCTTGCTTCCTAATTAGTGTCCATCAAGGAGTATCCAGGTGATGGTTTGGCCTTTTTGATACAGCATTTGACCACATCTCTTTACTCCAAAGCTCACAGTTGGATAGTTTATTTTCCCTGCATTAACTTTAACTCTACGACTTTGTAAGATTTGGAGGATGTTATTTTAAAATGATAATAACATCAAGTTAAAATACCAGCAACAATGGTGACTAAATTGTTCATGAAGTCTCAATGCACATCCACGATGGAATAGAAATAGGCATTTTGTTTAGCATATGAAGTGGCACTGTGATGTGGCAATAATATAGGTGCTGTTGATAATTAACATAATTTGACAAGTTGGAATCATGTAGTTTTTAATTTTTATGCTTGATCTTAGCCAAAAGGCAGAGAAGTGATTGTAGTTTTTAATTTTTTAAAGATATTTAGTGGGATTTGCATAAGGAGACATTATTGAATATTGTCATGTGATACCACATTTTATATTTATATAATTTAAATTGACGTGGAATGTGACTGCATTGTATATTGTACCTAGAATTAAAGATAATTCTGTAGAACTCTCTGTCCTCCATGTCCAAGTGGACATCTGAACATGAGAAAGCTTAGGAGGTGTTTTTGTCATGAGCTAAAGTGGAGACACATAAATCTCACTAACCAAAATGCTTGTGGCATTTCTGTTGACGCATCCAGTTGATAGGTTTTTGATTTCCTGTCATTTTTGAATAAAACAAATAACAATGACATCTGTTTGTTCTTGCCGCTGGCAGTTGGGAGTCTAGGCAAGGTGAGATTTGATAGCATAGAAGAGTTCTATCAAATAAGAATGATTAAGACCTCAGTTTTAGCTATATCTTAACTCCTCTGAACCAGCCACTCTAGGTAGTTGGACTTAATAAAATGAGGTGCTTGCTTTGTTCGAAGATCATTAGGTGGTAGAAATGCAGTTTCTTCAAGAATTATCCATAGTGATAAAATTCAAGTGACTCTCTGGAGTTGCTTCAGAAAAGAGGACAAATAAGTATTGATTGGTGAGACATGTTTATGAGGTGATAAAGCCTGTTTGCTTTCTCTTGCAGGGGACTGTAACCACGTCCATTTGTTTTTGAGAATTACTCCTTGGCCACAGCTCATCATAGACACACACAGTTTCTGGAATACAGATTTGAAGAGATGGTATCGGTAGCTTAAAGAAAAGGAGACCGTCTTGTCAGGACATACAATGATGTACTCCCCTGGGAGCCCGCTCCAAATAGTGCGACTCATGGAGATAAAACCTCTTGCTGGATTTTTATGACACATCTCTTTATGATTTTTACAAATAAAGAAAAAGCCTGTATATGATGATGTCTGCCCTTCCTCAGGATGTCCTGCTGATTGTCTGGTGATGGTGTCAGGGTAGCCAAAGACAAGACACAGGCCTGGAGAGAGTGCGTATGCCCTGATGTTACTAGCTTTATCATTCATAGGATTCTGGAACAAATAAAGGAGTTGAGCCTGGTACCTGATTCATAGGTGGCCTGGAACAAAGATGCATGATGGTGCTAGACCTGTGTCAAAGCCAAGCCATATTTACAGCAATGTTTACCATTCTCAGAAATCAGGAAATTCGATTTCCATTCCATGAGTACTACGTAACTGCCATTGATACAGCGTTTATAACATGCATGTAAATTGTGATTTGGTCCTCAAAGGAACATGAAATGGAGAGTGGAAGGCAGATTCTAGCCTTGGTTCCTGCTAACTCATTCTGTGATATGGAGCAAATCATCAACCTCTCTGTTTTTTAACTGGGAAAATGGGGATAATCAGGGACAGGCCTCCCTGCCTATGGATTGTGTCAATTAAACAAGGTCATTTAAGTGCAAGGAACACGCGTGTTTGGAAATCAGACAGAGACCTGGGTTTGGATCCCAGTGCTGTGCCTGTGTCAATGATCCTATACATGATTTAAAATCTTTCTGAAGCTTGTTTTTTAAAGTTTGTAAAACGAGATAATAGAACTAACTTTGTGAGGTTGTTGGACTGATTTGAGACTATGCACATAAAATGCCTAGCATGACGTCTGATGCACGGCAGAAGTCCAGTAAATAGAAGCCATTATTAGAATGTGAAACATTTTGAAAATGTACTTTTCAATTGAATATAGGGTAGTATGACAGTTGGAAAATCATTAGATGACAGTAGTCTGCCTTTCTCGTGATTGGAAGCCAAAATATAAATGCACACTACCTAAGAAAGCTTGAAGGGAGGTAATAATTTGGCATTCACTTCTTAAGATAAAAATTGGGCCATTACTGGAAAGTCTTAGAGAAGTTGTTCTTTTTTTTTGATATTTGAAAAATTTTCCATTTAGTCCACTGATAAATATCAAAGCAATTGTACTTTTGGTATACTCCTGCTACTGTGGGTCTCTTCTTACTGTATTTGAGCTATCTGTACTGGTTGAGTTTTGTCTCTTAGGATAATTTCCCCTCCTTTCCTTAGTTTTTCATTATTCAATTGTTTTGGAAGGAAAATGAATGGTAAAACTAGAGTACACTTTGACCTTTTTTCTAGTTTGTAAACGGCATTTGGTAGGCTTTTGGAGTAATAGCCTTTTTTTTTTTTTTCTAAAAATAAGAAGTGATATGAATTATTGTGAAAGTGAGAGGCCAGGAAATTGTACTGGGAGGTCCACACTGGAATAAACTTAATGCTTCACAGTAGGCAGGAGTTTTCAACCTTCGCTACCCATGAGGAGCTTGCTGCAATCCTGATGCCCAGCCTGCTGTCCAGACTACGAAATTAGTATCTCTGTGGGTAGAACTCAGACATCGGGTGATTCCAATGGGCAGCTATGGATGAGACCATTACAGTGAATTCTAGGTAATTTGCAGACATTATCTAATTTCTGAGGTTTGAAAGAATCTTTGTAGCAGGAATTTTTATTAGAAGTAGAGTGAGGCACAGAGAGGTCGCATGTCTGCCTTGGTTCCTTGAAGCCAGGGTAACTAGTGCAAATGCCTTTAGGGGTCAGCAGCTGGTGCAATGAGCGATGAACTAGCTGAAAGTGGGCAGCTCCTGCCAAACTCCAATTTAGCAAGGACCTATGGCTGGTTTTTCTAGTTCTTTCAATTTCTGACTTTCTAAGAAAAGACAGAATTGAAAAAAATTAAAAATTCCTGATTTTTTTAACCTGTTGACAACTAATTCAGAATTGTTTAAAACATTGTGCTGGCCAAACAAAATCTGTTTCCAAGCTGGTAGTTTCCAGCCTGTGCTTTAAGAACAGTCAGGACAAGCCTGAACATCCTGGCCAAAGTTTAACAGATGTGCATTTCATGCTCTGGGTGTGCGCTGCATGCTGCCTCACCTCCCAGACTGCTTTCAGATGCATTGTCCTCCCCATTCCTGAGTCATCCTCAGGGATTTGCTTTTTCTCACTCGGTGGTGTTTTTCTCCCTGTAGGCATCTATTGCTTCGAGCTTCACACATGGTTTAGAAAGCTTATGGTCTTTTTAGAACTAATTAGGGCTTGTTAGATTTTTAAGAATTACATGTCTGGGATAAAACATTTAGAAGTCCATATTTAACTTTATTATTTACTGTCTAATGTAAGAATCGTCAAAACCAGCTGGAGTACACTAGGAACAAGAGTGGGAAAGGGTCACTTCCCAGACCTGACCCATCTCCTCCTGCCTCCAAGATTCACCGTGTGGTCCCCAGACTCGACCTGCCCCAGAAACCTTGGGAGAGGTGGGCTTATGTCTGGGTTCTCAGGCCCTACCCCCAGATTCATGCACTTTCAGTGGGGCCTTAGGATCTGTATTTTAAAACAGGTTCTCTAGGAGATTTTGTTTTAGAAACACTGATTTAGGGAAGATGTTTTTGATATGTGTATCTTCTGTTTAAGAGTTTTCAGTCAGTTGGGCCTACTGATCAATATAGTTGATCACTCAGCACACACTATAAAGTTCTTAGGTTGAGAGAAACTGACTTAAGTTATCCCTATGTGATTGAGGTACTTTTACCAGGAAGGGGCTTTTATTTTTTACTTTGTATTTTATTATATAAATGACTTTGTATATTTTATCAGCAGAATATATGTACTAAGATCCCAAATGTCAGACACCGTAGGGTGCATGGTGCAGGCAACTCAAGGTTATTCTTTTAAGTTGCACATCGTTTTTGCTTTATTTCAGCCATTTACGAGGAATGTTCTTAATTTAGTTTGCTTTTGCAAACAGAATGTACTGAAGATAATTAAATCTTTTCAGAGTCATTGTATATGTTTTACATTCTTTTAGATCCTGCTTAGTTTTGTTAGAGTCTCTGTACTGAAAGGCCCCAGATGTGTTTGCTCTTTGAGTTCCACAGTGTTTTTTTTTTGAGACAGAGTCTTATTTGTCCTCCTCAGTGGAGTGCTGTGGTGTCATAGCTCACAGCAAACTCAAACTCTTGGGCTCAAGCGATTGTCTTTCCTCACCTCCCAAGTAGCTGGGACTACAGGTGTTTACCACAATGCCTGGCTATTTTTAGCGGTGGGGGGGGTCTCACTCTTGCCCAGGCTGGTCTCTAACCTGTGAGCTCAGGCAATCCACCCTCCTCGGCCTCCCAGAGTGTTAGGATTACAGGCGTGAGCCACTGAGCCCGGCCCTTCCACAGTGATTTTTAGAGTTCTTCCTTTCCCCCTAACACTACCTGTCATTTCTCTCTGCTGTTACTGTGCTTGCCTCTAGGAGCTGTCCTTTAGTTTGCTCTGGGGCTGGGACATCATGTAACTGCCTACTCTGTGTTGAGTAATAGCAGGCGGGATTCAAGTGAGATTTTCAGAGGCTTTTCTAGCCGTAAAGTGAGTGCACTTTGCAGCATTATTTTATTGGCTCTCTGGCCTTCCTATATCTTGCTTTCTGGTCTTGCACTGCAGTTGTCAGATCTGCAGCAAGACGATTGAGATGTCGCTAGAGATCATTACTCTTGATCTTAAACCTGCTGTCTCCCCCAGTTGTGTTAGTGTTTTTTAGGTATACAATTCTATAACATGAAACTAAAGAGGATGCAAACTCAAATGAAACTCTCTCAGGCCGAGTTTGTGTTCAGGATGAAGTGCTGTTGATTAGTGTTATTGTGATTGAGCCCTATAAATTAGTTGTCTACTCTCTGCAGTCATTCTGAAATAAAGTTGTTATGATTAACATTCATGCATGATTTCTAGTTTCTGGGGGGGGGCCATAGCCTGCGTTTGTTTGTACTAATGATCCTAACTCTTTTTTCAGCCCCAGTTGAGAGTGTTATAACAATCATATGATGTTCGCTCTCCTCTTCCCACAAGGCAAGGCATTAAAGTGTCTCCAAGAAACTTTGGGTGGCTCATGTACAAGTGGTCCGAGGGACCCGGATCTGCAGAGGGAGAAAAATGAAACACACTGGGCGGTGCCTGTGGCTCAAAGGAGTAGGGTGCTGGCCCCATATACCGGGGGTGGTGGTTTCGAGCCTGACCCTGGCCAAAAGAAAACTGTTAAAAAAAAAAAAAAAGAAGTGAAACACAGCACAAACGGCAGAATGAAGCCAGGTCCCAAAGGAGGGAGAGACGGAGTAGATTCTTGTTAACATGTGAGGCTCAGCTATCCTGTCTATACTTTATTTTCATGAGACCCACTTGTTAAATTTTTCTTAGAGGCAGGATTTCCCTTTTCCTGTTCAGAATTATGGGATCTGAACCAGTTGAGACGTCAGGGTGTTGGCCTTTGCTTATGCTGCTAACCATTAGTCCTCTTCAGTTGGGGCATAAAGAAAGTTCCATGGTTCTTCACAAATGGATAGGGACGGTTTGCCCCTGCAGGCTTCATCGTCAACATTATTTCATCCCTTCTTAAAATAAGTTATTCCTTCTAAACTGTTGATTTCTTTGGGGCATTGCTTTTTGTAAAGCATCAGTGATTTTACAATTCTTTCACCCAAGCTTCACTGTAAGTTTGATGTTTGTTCTTGCTTCAATCTTAGGAAAATTCATGTTGCCCTGGTGAGGGCTCTTTTCAAACTGATGGCCTAATGCTTATTGCTGCCTCAAACTAGGTCCTGTTTGAAATCTTGTAATAAGTTAGTATGAGTTTATTTTGGTGGGAAAAAAGATGATCATAATTTTTTTTGGTAATACACGTTTTTCTTATGTATTTTGGATACTCCTATACTTATGGTAGTAATGGGCTAAGTAAAGTGCTAAGACCAGACACAGTTACCTCTTGAGATGTTTAGAGGATGAAAAAAATAGAAGAAAAAAGTCTGCATAGGATAATGGAGAGAAGTACTTCTGGCCCAGAAGTATAGGTTGTGGGGCTCTAAAGTGCACCAGCAGAT